TTTGTCCTGGTACTCAAACCAAAGAGCCAAGTACACCTTGGCAGAGACCACTCAAAATCCCAAATCACTGAATGTCTTGGGCATCCATACCCTGAGCCACACCTGCTCTTCCCCTGTGTGAAATAAGATATCTAGAACTCAGAACTGGTAAAACCAAGGTGGATTTCTTTCTTGGTAAGCTGAGGGAGTTAAATAGTCATACCATCAACATCTATGAAGTTGACTTCCAGTAGCTAATATTAGCTACAAGTAACAGAATGTTTAGAAGGTTACATATGACTACTTTTTTAGGGCAAAAAAAGAAGTATAGCAAAGGACAAACTCTTTCAGGCCATTTGTTCCAGAGCAAGAACTCACATGAGTTACAGCTTTCATATTTTAGTTCATGGTAATAAGTTTAAAAGTGGCTGTGTTTGCCTTACAGTGGATGCATTTACATAATGTAATTGGGATGATGCTTCCATAGGCATTTTGTTATTGCAACAGCTCTTTCTAGGTGTTTTATGGGCATGGTCTTATATCTGTGTTGTGGTTCAAAGTAATGCATTTATCTTGCGATTCAGAGGGCTAAGAGAAAGCACCTGGTGAGCTGGACTCATAGTTAAGCACTTGAAACACCCTAATTCCAATACATTTTATGATATGTCTGAATTTTTCTATTCAACTGTTCCAAACAAAATAACTGCACAAACATTATTTCCAGCTTATAGCAGCAAAGAAAGAGATGAGTCCAAAAAGATATAAAATGGAGTTTTCTATTTATTTCATTTTGCTATTCTTGAATTTAGGCTTTGTGCTGACAAAAGTGAGAGAAAAGCTTACTCAATTAGTACCTTCCTCAGCAGCTCAGGAGGAATGTTATCTCTTCCTTATAAGCAAATCAGGGAGAGAAGCCAACTGGTTCAGAGGTAGGACTTGACATCAATGTAAATAGCAATCACAGATTTACAGTGCATTTTGCAACACCTGCTTTGTTTCTTCCAGTTTGCCTTCTGAGGTGAATCAATTATGAGAATTATTTCATTTAAATTAAACAACAGAATAAAGAAAAGTGAATTTCTGGTCCCGCAGGCTGCAAGGAAATGTTTGAAAATGTAGCCTGCAGCAGGACGAAGTCATCCAGTTAAAGCCCAGGGCAGGGTTATAACCCGTGTCCCTTTCCTCCCCTGCCAGGAAAGCAGCTCCTTCATAGTCCTGTAACTCTCCCTTTTCTCAGAAATGTCCTGGTTGCCTTCCATGTCCGTTTGGTCCTCCCCCAAAACAAGCAGAGCTCTCAGCTGGCCGTCCCTGGGCGCTGCTGGCCGGGCAGGGGTGACAGGCTGCGGATGCTGCAGGGCGAGCGGCGTGCTGAGCGCGGCCGAGGGAGCGCGAGCTCTCTGCCTGACCAGAGCCTGCCAAAAAGGATGGGTAATGCTTGGGCTCTGCTTGCCTTCTCCTCAGGGAGGGCATTACTAATCTCCTTTTCCTCTGCACAGTCACTGTTTTTCCACATAACTTGCAGTTACAGCATGTCTTTGAAACCTTTTTATCAAATTTGCAGGGGTGGGTTTGGTTTCCTTTCCCTTTTTTTCAACTTTTTTTTTTCAGCTTTTTTTTTAAGGTTTTCCAAAAGCTCATGGTGGAAGGGGGAAAGTAGAGGAGAAGTTGCCAGGTAGACAGATGTATGCCTTTTTCCTTTTCAAAGGAACATTCTTGCAGTGCTTGATTTTGGGGGCCTGAGCCATGATCTTCGCATAGTCAGGATTGGGAATACTATTCACTATTGGCAGGCACAACGGGTAGAATGACACAAATCCCAAAGATAATATTAAAATGCCATAAAGTTCAGTAAAATGTGCATTTCATTTTTAACTCTTCTTTAGTTTTGCTAGTGATAATGTGTTAGGGTTTTGTTGTTGTTGGGGTTTTTTAAAAATATTTTTTTGCCTAATAAATTTTAGAACAACTTTTACCTGGTCTCTTCATCACTTATTTTCTTCTGTTCTATCACCTACTTCTGTAGTCATCACTTTTCATCACTTGTAGTCATCACAGTTTTTCCAAAAACACTACAATGCCAGTCAGACAGAAAAATAAATCACATATTCTATTATTATTATCAAATAAATTAGATCCTTCAATAGGTCCTGATCAAGTGTAACTCTTTGCGCCCTTTCCTAAATTCTCACAATTTCAGAGAAAAAACATCACATATTCTAATATTATCAAATAAATTAGATCCTTCAATAGCTCCTGATCAAGTGTAACTCTTTGCACCCTTTCCTAAATTCTCACAATTTTAGAGAAAAAAAAGAATAAGCCAGCAACCAGAAAAGATGAAAAATATTCTACTAACAGCCTAGAGTTATTCACAGTACCTATGAAATGCATTTTATGAGGGAAATGGAAATATTGCTCTCTGTTATGCAGCTGCTGGTGAATTCTGGGGTGCTTTTGTCACCCCCAGGCCCTGTGCCACCACTCCAGCTGCTATTGCTGCCTCCTAAACAGCGGTGCTCAGCAGGGTCTGTTTGCCACCACGTGTCACCTGAGAGCAAGCTGAGCCCTTGCTCTGAGCTCCCTGGGGTTTTGGGCTTGCAGCCATAATTAAATGCTGCACAGAAAGGAGCAAAGGGTCTCTTGCTTGCAGATTAATGGACTCTGCAGAAGATTGGGAAAAGAACCCTGAAGCTCTGCATGTTCATTCTGGCCAGCCAGAGCAGGAGGACAGGCAGGAGAAGGAGCAGGAAGGTCCCAGTGTGGCTGCAGAGCACAGCCCAAGAGGATCATGGTGCTGAGGCACTGCTTTGCTGAGCACCTCTCCTGCCCCTCTCCCTCCTGAGTGGCTTTTAGCCATGGTCTGCCAGAACACTGAATTACTTTCATATCAATGAGTGCATCATTATTTCCATCATTATCTTAAACCTTTCTGGAGTGAAACCTGGTACCTGTTGAACTTTCCACTTGGGGTGGATTCCCTTCTGTAGGGTTATGGTTAAGTTTAGTTTAAAATGAAGAAATAATTTAAAATAATTTAATTATTACATTAACTTTAGAAATAGTACACAACCCCCAACTTAAATCTCCCCAAAATGCATTAACAGGTCACTGCTTTTCAGAAAGATTCTTACTGTCAATCATCCTGTGCATGTTCCATAAAAACACATTTCTATCATTTGAAATGTACTAAGAGTCTGTTTTAGAGATGTTATAGGCATAGTAGGCAGTTTCTTGTTCCAGTGAACCATGGCCCATTTGTATTACCACATGCTGAAAGTAACTGCATTGTCTCTGTGTAAAAATCAAATGCTCAGGAGCTAAGGCAGCAAACTGCTTTTTGGCTAAAATCAGAATATCAGGGTCTGACCCTAAAGCTATATGCCTGGAATGTGTGAGCATGATACATTTATCACTTGCATCAACTTTACATCAGGGCAGAATGACCAATTTCAATTGAATACTTGTGATTTATGTCACTGGTTATGAGCTGAATATCAGGCTCAGTTCCGTGGTATACAGTGAATTTGCATGCCCTGGAGAGGTGATACAAAAAGAATATGAACGACCAGGCAGAAAAAAAAATTTTTTTTGGAGAGTTCTGTCCACATCTTTACTTATACCAACGTTTTTCCTATATGAACACGTGCAAAACCCCTTGTCTGACATATTCTTAGGAGTACTCAGAATGGGAAAAAGAAAAGAAACTTTGTTAGAAACTGAAAATTCAGTCCTAACTTAGGCAAACTTGGGCATATTGCATGAAATTTCAGGATTTCCCTTTGCTGTAATACACAGATTGCAAATATTCAAATATATACAATCCATACCAATTCCAGGGTTTCTGTTTGCTATGACATGCAGCCTGTGTTGAGCAGTAACCCCATCATCCCCCTCACTAAGTGTGAGTTCCATAATTATTGCATTTGATTTTAAGATCAAATGCAAGATTTTATAAGCCATAACCTATGCAATCACACAGAGATATATCTCTCTTATGCAGAAAGCATATTAAAACTGTATTTTTTAACATATAAGCAGGACATAAAAGAATTTCTAAGTATTTGAGCAAAAAGTAATAAAGGACAGAGATATCACTTAAGCTGGAATAACACAGAAACATTTTGAAGAGAAATAAAAGGTTACATGGAAAAAGAAGATAAATACACAGTAGAGATTTAAATATTTCAAGTTTTTAATGCTTTCACTAATAATGGAAAAAGCAAGTAGAACTATTCCTGTGTAATATTAGAGTGAGTAACTAAAGATATTCCTTAAAAATACCTTTGCTACTAAAGACACTTAATTTACTGCCCAGGATTCTGGTGACAGCATGAAGAGGGGACAAACTCATTTTTCATTACTGACTGTTAATTCAGTAAAGGATTTGTTCTGTGGATTTTGATATATGCTAAAGGGGTAAACAAATAAGACAGGCATTTGCATAGTGTCAGATATGCACAAAACTTCCAATACTGCTTTAGCTAGTGTCTAGGAAAACCAGTAAAGTTTTCTGAAATAGGAACTGCTGAATATATATCAGTTGTTGAACAACATAAATTAGTACTCATTGCAATCCATTTCTAAAGTATAATTTTCCTGCCTGCTAAAAGTAACCTCTCAGGATTTTATTTTAAATAGAACAAACTTTCAAGTCAGAAAGATTGGTAGAAGCCTAAAGCAAGTTTAGAGCAAGGTTTCTCTTGATTCATAGTACAAGTTCACAGTTGGTATAATATTTAAGAATGACAGTGCTGTCTTTCAGTACTGCTGCCCACAATACTTGGAAATATATCCTTTCAGAATGTGAAGGCATATCCTCTGCGAAGTACCCAGATAAATCAGTTCACCCTTGGCTGTAACTAAACGCTGTCTAGTGACTTGTGATCGACAGGGCTTTACCCTCTGACAGCCAGATTCATTGTTGGGACAGCAACCAATCGTCGGGTTTGACGACATGAGCCTAATCAAAGTTGGAGTATAAAAAGCCCCCTTGGAATATATAAGGTACACCAGTGTGGCAAGCTGTCTCTCAGATTGCATTTGCTTTCACGGATCTGTTTAGTACTGAAAGGGAAAGGGGGAGGGGGAAAAAAAAGAAGGCAAAAGTGCTGCACTGAATGCGAGATCATGCAAAAGCTAGTGCTCTATGCTTCTATTTACCTGCTCATGCTGATTTCAGTTGATCCGGTGGCTCTTGATGACAGTAGTCAGCCCACAGAGAACGCTGAAAAGGACGGACTGTGCAATGCTTGTACGTGGAGACAGAATACAAAATCTTCCAGAATAGAAGCCATAAAAATTCAAATCCTCAGCAAACTGCGTCTGGAACAAGCTCCTAACATTAGCAGGGATGTTATTAAACAACTTTTACCCAAGGCTCCTCCACTGCAGGAACTGATTGATCAGTATGATGTGCAGAGAGATGACAGTAGCGATGGCTCTTTGGAAGATGATGACTATCATGCCACCACCGAAACGATTATCACAATGCCTACAGAGTGTAAGTAACCCTGCTTCTTTCGCCTCCCACTGCCCCTCCGAGAGAGTTGCCTCCCTGCTGTAGAGCCACACAACTCCTCCTCAGGCTCTCCCAACAGGCTGCTGGCTGAAGTCTGCTGGAGGGAGGGAGGAGAGCATTATTTCTAAAGAATTTGAGCCAGGTTCAGATGACTGTGTGGTGATCCTTTGTTTTACTGTTCGGTTTCCAGCTCCTTATAATGTGTGTGCCCTGTAGCACTTAGGATTTGCCCATTGCCTTAGAAAGCAAAGGGAGATCTGCAGTTCACTCAACTTCATTATCTGCAGCACTCGGGGTATTTCCTCTCGCAAATATAACGTACAAGTGCAGATAACGAGAGAACTAAATATTTGTGAGGGAGGTTTCACCGGCCAGTATTTTTAGAAGCAATAGAAATCAACAGAAAGACAGCTTAGAGCACGACATCTACCTAACTGCAACATGCTACAGCAAGTGCAAGCAGAGAGTTAAATTCTTGCCTCTTTGCTGATCCCATAAACTAGCACCACCCACCTCGGAGTTAAAACTATATATTTAATGCAAATATGTGTGTAACAGATTAAATGTGGAAATGTCCGTGCTATAGCAATCAGCTCATGTAATCGTGCCAAGGAAGAATGAAGGCATTTACTGAATGAGCAGATTCTGAGTTATCTTCCAACTGCTAAACATCTGCTATGCCTCCTATCAAGTATCTTTTGCACAGCTAATACTGTAGTATCTTATGTTCTTCATCAGCTAAAGTATTTGACTATGGCAGCTGTTTTTTTAAATAACACTTATGAATATGATGTCAAAAAGGAAAAATATGACAGAGGACATATAAGGCATGTTAGCAGTTACAGATATCATTATGATATGCAGACTAGAATAATATCTGCTGCTCTCACCAGCTAAAAATGAACCCACATATGAAAAAGTAATATTTTCAGTGAAATTTTTCAACTTAGTAATTATTAAAATGGGCACTTAATAGGATTATTTTACTGCAGCCTTATAACAAAGCTGAGGGCTGCCTGCATTTTTATTCCAGACTTTTATGTTCAAGGCTTTATAACTATTTTTAATCAAACTGCTACATATTTACAGTGACTGAAGAAAAGTCATTGTATTTCATTGCTCTGAGTTCACTTCCTACTTCTTATAAAAAGCCCTTGAGCTATTTTAAATGCACTAAAGAGACAGGTATCTTAAGTGATGAGATTTATGAACGTTAAAGTCCTGCACCATTTAGGATTAGTACTACCCATTTTATCCTGGCATGGAAAGATATTGCCATGACTAGGTATGACAGCTGCATCGTAGGCTACAAGAAGGAGGAACGCAGCACTGCACGTGACTTTCCTCTAATATTATTCAAATGAAAACAAAATGATCCTTATATTAATCCCCTCCATTATTTTCTTCCCACTGAGAAAAGAAATGTGTTTGTGCAGTTTGCCCAGGGCTGTATGGTCTGCAGCAGGCTGAGGCTTTGGAGTAAATTAGAAATAGCTGGATCACCACACACGTGTTGAGTCAGCTTATGCAAAGTTGCTATTCTGCATGCTTTATGAAGGTCCTCAGGAGGTGGCCAGCAGAAGTGAATTGGTAGTAGGTGATAGAGTAATTTTGTTGACATCCACTAAATTTGCTGTACAGTGTAAACCATAGAAAATGAATTAAGTTAAATCAAATTTGTTACTGGTACTCTTTACAACATATTGTAATATTTTTTTATACAGTCTGAAAAAAAAAAATCAGGTTTATATACGCGTTTTTTTCTTGTTCCCTGTTCAGTAATCTGTTCTTTCCATTCATTTATAGCTGATTTTCTTGTACAAATGGAGGGAAAACCAAAATGTTGCTTCTTTAAGTTTAGCTCTAAAATACAATATAACAAAGTAGTAAAGGCACAATTGTGGATATACTTGAGGCAAGTCCAAAAACCTACAACGGTGTTTGTGCAGATCCTGAGACTTATTAAGCCCATGAAAGATGGTACAAGATATACCGGAATTCGATCTTTGAAACTTGACATGAACCCAGGCACCGGTATTTGGCAGAGTATTGATGTGAAGACAGTGTTGCAAAATTGGCTCAAACAGCCTGAATCCAATTTAGGCATCGAAATAAAAGCTTTTGATGAGAACGGACGGAATCTTGCTGTAACTTTCCCAGGACCGGGGGAAGATGGATTGGTAAGTCTATTTAGAAAAATCCTATTTCACTGAAAAGCATTTAAGCTCTGTTTTAAGGATAAAATGGATGCATTGTTTAGGGAATGGAAGATAAAAGTTCTGTGTATCCAATTCTTTCGTTCTTTGCTCTCTGACAGTGCCAAAAATCAATAGCTTTCCTCTGCCTCCATTTCCCTGTCTAAAAAATTGACAGAAACTGAGAGACATTGTGAGGCATTAGCTAGAAAAGGTTTTGGCAATTATTGATGGATGATGCTATCAAAGTAACATTGTTTACAGTTTTGAGAGCAAATACTACTTAATAAGCAGCTATTTCACATGAAGTCAAAGAACAGTCTTCAGATTCTTTCACTGGTTAGGAAAGATGCCTCCAATATGCTGTTAAGGCAAGGGAGTTCCTACATACTCTCTATACATATATTTTCTATTAACAACAACAAAAATTGTCTCTTTCTGAAAGTGAGAACAGATCTTCTTCATAATGTTAAGTTCTTTACCTTTCAGTATTTGGTAGTCATCATTCTACCTATTAGAAATGTCTGAATAGAGAACTTCTGCTTGATACAATAATCGAGTCATGATGATAAGAAAGTGCACAAAATAACTGGTTTGTTTTTATAAGAACAGATGAACAAATTAAATCTGAAATGTACCTACAAGTACACCTGAAATAAACCTGCAGTGAAACTACAGCATTTCCCTTGCTATCTGTTTCTATAAATCACTAATAATCTACAACCCATATAAATTTCTATACTTATCACAACCAAGTGATACCTCCTTTTGCATAAAGTAAGAAGAATATTATTCTACTTTTACTTCTGTGTAGTAGATGAATCTGTTGATTATAGAAACATAGAAATATTTAGGTTGGAGAAGACCATTGTGCCCAACCATTTATACAACATTTAAGTTCACAGCAGTATAATATAATTTAGAAGTGCTTAAAAGAAAAACTCTGTGATATCTTACTTGTACATCCAATATAAGTGCGGATCTCCTGTATTTGAAAAAGGCCAAGCTGATATCATGATCAGGAATGTCCTCACCACCTCCATCCATTCAAATGATGAGACATACAGATACATGGCTATCATCATCTATAAACAAACATTTCAGTGGCAGAACAGGGTTAGAGGCACAGGTGATAATGGGAGAGGAAATCTCTCTGTCCCCCAGCTCCTCTCCAGCACAGCTCCCCTCTCAGTACAGGGGTGCTCCTCTCACCAAACACCTCCCCATATAATTTACCTTTGGAAAGGGCACTTCCAGCAGCTCCACAGCTCGCAGGTATCTGGGGAAGAGGGAAACCGGTGTAATAAAGTTAGCTGGGCTGTTGTTCCTGAGGAATGGTCTCCACGGGATGGCCCCATCAGAGCCAAACTAACACCCAGGGCAGAAATCAATGTGTGGAAGGCAGCAACTTTGGGAACTTTTTCAAAGTCACAATCGTGGAGGCTGTAATTTCCTTCTAGTCTCAGTTGGTGACTGTGGAAATACACCTTCTGTAGGAGGCATGTGGCTCAGGGATCTGCCAGAAGTACATTCCTAGCCACAGGACTCTTCCAGGAGTTAAAATACTTAACTGCCCCTCCAAATTCATTCAGTCAGAGTCATTCAAGCATGGCAGCCATAGAGGAGCAACTTTCATCCTCCTTGGTCTGGACAAAATACTTTCCTTGATATCCAGAAAGCCTGAATTCAATATGACTTTAACGAAGGGAATTTCAGAAGGACTCACAAAAGCTGTTATTATGGAGTTTAAAACAAACTAAAAACCATCCACATCAAAAGTAAAAATCCAGCATCCTCCACATTTCTGAAATGTTCTTACAGCAGTTAAAGAATCTTAGCACTGAGACAGTGGTGATTTCAGGGACAAATACTCAAGTATTAAAGCTCTGTATAGAGAAACAGCAGGGAAATGCAGAGATTTCAGAAACTTCATTTCAGAATATTAATCTGAAACATCTACATCTGAAATATTGTTTGCATGTTTTTAGACAACTTGGGCTTACCTCAGAAATGATTCCAATTCCTTCTCCTCTTCTCACAGAACCCATTTTTAGAGGTCAGAGTTACAGACACACCAAAACGGTCCCGCAGAGATTTCGGTCTCGACTGCGACGAGCACTCGACAGAATCCCGATGTTGCCGCTACCCGCTGACGGTGGATTTCGAAGCTTTCGGGTGGGATTGGATTATCGCTCCTAAAAGATACAAAGCCAACTACTGCTCCGGAGAATGCGAATTTGTGTTTTTACAAAAGTACCCGCACACCCACCTGGTGCACCAAGCCAACCCCAGAGGCTCGGCAGGCCCTTGCTGCACGCCCACCAAGATGTCCCCCATCAATATGCTGTACTTCAATGGCAAAGAACAAATCATCTACGGCAAGATACCAGCCATGGTTGTAGATCGCTGCGGGTGCTCATGAGGTCCTCGCTGGATCCACCGCTTCACACATCATGGAAGCTACCAAAAAAAAAAAAAAGGAAAAAAAAAGAAAAAAAAAGGAGAAAAAATAGAAAAAGTTATACCCCCACACCAGTGTTTCAAACTGTGAAGTTACGTACACAAGGCATTGCCGACCTCCTGTGTGCTACCAGCAGCAGTTACAGAACGTGAACTAAAGGACAATGTAATTACCTGATGGCTGCTTGTGAGCCAGCAAAAGAGAAAAGCTACAATCAAAATCACCGGATTTAATCTATGAAGTTCTTACATTATGAGGGAATCAATATTCAGTCATTTGGATGCAAATTTATATGCAGCTTTCAGTACACATTGGTAATCAAAAGCAAGCTCCTTCTCACCTGAGGACAGAAGAAGCAGGCTTTTAAGTTCCTTTCTTCACAGCTTCACTTAATGTCATATTTACAGGAACATATATACTGGTAACATATACACCACTACACAATACCACCAGAATCATCCTTAAACACTTGAATATATAGTGCAGACTTGTGAAATGTATCAGATGAAATTCCACATAAATGGACAAACCCTGAAATTAGGGATGGCATAGTGTATTTAGCGTGTTTCCATTCCTTTTTCTCATTAGTGTGTTAGTAATCAATGGCAATGGTGCTACGTAAGCAGGCTGAATAAATAGAAAGATAGTTATATAAGTGAAAGAATTTAGGCTTAATAATGAAGTTGCCCTATCCTCAGGTACACTATTCAACATTCTCAAGAAATAGATATTTTTTAAATGAAAAGGAATAGTTTTCTAGACATAGAAAAACAGAAGGCAGCAGAGAAATCCAACATTCAAATTGCGATCCCACATTTTAACCTGCCTTTGCAACATTACCGTTTGCACTATGGTAAACCAATGCAAATAGTTGGTTGCTACAGATATTGTTTTAAAACCACTTTGATATAACTGACTTGTGTAATATGTATGCATCAATATTTTGTAAATAAATGTTTATTTTTTAATCACTGTTGGTATATGTTCATCACAAGAAAAGAACGACTTTAACCTGTACTTTAGTTTAATAAACAAACCCCAATATTCTCTTCATAATATAATTTTCTGGATTTTAACACAAATAATTGTAGGAACAATGCAACAAAGTAAACCATATGTTGAGAATTATTCTACATTTTATATGTTTTTTACATTGGTATGAGCCATCTAGGATAAATGATGGCTGTTGACATGTTTATAAGGTTCTTTGGGTTACTGTTTTTATGGTCATTTTGATCCACAACTGAATTTCCATATTTTGAATGTTATGTTCATAAATAATCATGATACCACAAAAGATTGCTATTAAATGCATTTTATTGTATTTAAAAGTTTGCAGCAAAGTATTTTCTGTATTTGAGTAAACACAGTACATGGATTTCGACAAAAATTCTGTACATTTTCCTTATAGTAAAAAATTGTTAATTGAAATTAAAAAGATCTATTTACTATAAAGTCCATTTTATTTCACATGTGAAATAGAACTGATAAACCAGATGTTTGTTAAGACAACACAATCACTGTTAAAACATCTTCATGTTAGTATGATGCACGTTTTTGTTATATTCCAGAAATCAGTTTTGAATTTTCCTTTGTGTAAAACCACCCTCAAATTGCAAAACTGCTTGATTTTTGTTCCCTTCCTCTTTTATATATTTTCTGCCTCGGTGGTAAATATTTTGTATTGAGCTTTTTTTACTTTTTTAAAAAATTTGTATGTAAGGACATTAAAACTTAAAGTTTGAGTGATGAGGTTTGAAATTTAAAAGCAAACAGATTTTCTGCAATTTCTTTTGAATGATTGGGAGTTCTGCTAAAGCTGTGTCCAGGCATCAAGCAGATGTTCAGCTTCTCCCGATGCAGTTCACCAGAGCAGGTCCCTGGGGCCCTTAAATACACTTTCAATTTAGTTTCCCACAAAACACCATCAGACTAAATAAAAAATCTAAAAACTTTTGGAATACAGGCTCTTGGTAAAGCGACAAGAATTAAAAGTACAACACAATTGCCCTCCTAAACAAAGTTCCAGAATTAAGGGAGAAATGTTCTGTTTGTTGAAGTCAATGGCAAAACTTCCACTGGCTTTAACAGAGACCAACCTTTTGCCCTCTGACTTTTAACTCGTGACATTCAGGCACCAAGCAGTGCCATCCTGCTCATGTGAACTATCAATAGCATCTCCTTGCATGAGGCTCTTAAACCATTCAGAGACTTCCAATTAACTTCCATATACCCTGTAGCTAAACATTCACTGCTTTAATTGGACCAGTTCATATAGCAACAGCTGCAGAGATGCAGCAGTGTGGATTCTGCAGTTGATAGGGAACAAAACCTATTCCCAGTCTGCACCAAAGTCCAGTTACAACACCTGCAGCATTGTTTTTACTCATGGTAGGTAAATGAAAGTTAATGCAAATTCATTTACCCCCACACAAGTGACCTCATTGGCTGCCTGGTAGTAACTGTACCCTGCACAAAGGCAGTGCAAAAGGGATGGATTTTTTTATTCCTGCAATCAATGAAAGCAAAATTAAAGCAAGAAAATAAGTAGTATGAATTCCAAAAAGAATCTGCTCCAACCAGCACCCCATCTTGACACTCAGACAAATTTTGTTCCATGTAAATTTTATGCAGTATGCATCTTTTATATTTTGCCAAACTTGAAATGATCATAGAGCAATTATGGCTCCTGTGATTTAACAATGACCTTACAGATAAGTGGCTACTCATGGAACATGCTGTGGGCTTTGATCCTGTTGATCTAGCTGCTGAATAGCTCATTATCAATGTGTTTATTGACAATCAATTTAAGATGTCAGTGATTCCTTCTGTTCCTATCATTACATCCTTTCATTTGCAAGGCTCAGGTCTGAGAGACCCCAGCAGCATTTGTGAATACTTTGTACAGCTCTCAAACCTCACTCTTAAGCTGTGTATTCAGAATAACGAAAATATCCAGTGAGGGATGATGTGTCAGAAACAGCATCATTTCCTTGCCTGCCATCCTAAGAATCCCAACAGGAATGAACCAGGCAGAGTCCAGCTTTCCGAGGCACTGTCCAAGTGCCCCAAGATGCACGTGCACCCCTGCAACAGGGCAATTCCTCATCTCCATACTGCTTCAGTTCTTCCTCTTGGCTCTGCTGCCCAGCCCTTTCCCTCCCAACACAAGCCAGTCCTTTTCCAGAGCTGCTCGACCCCTACCTCCCACCCAGCTTCAGTTACACTGTAACTCGAGCAGCATTTCCCCTCCCATTTCGCACAGCATCTCCCATCCCGTCCCTCCCCAGACTCTTGCCCTGCAGCCCCTTTTGCAGAGGGAACAGCCCCCTGCAGTACTGCCCTCCTGTCCCTTAAGCAGATCCAGTGCATCCTGCTCCTGCTGGAAGCTGCGGTTAGGGGAGAAACCTTCCACAACGCTCAAGAGAGGCTGTGGGGAATTTAACAGCTGAACACAGAAGTCAACACCACTAAGCTATAAATGCACTGCAATTTTTCACAGATGGACTGTTTTGCTAAATATGAGCAGATTTCAAAGGAAGAACTAAAGGCCAAATCCATTCATAGCTTTAGGTAGCTCTTCCCCAATTCTGTTGAGTCTAGGTTTGGGGTTTGCGGTTGTTCGTTGGGCGTTTGGGGGTTTTTGAAGGCTTTTTGGGGTGGTTTCTTTTTTAATCAGACCTTGGATGTGAATGACCTATTTTGGCTAAACGTCTGAAAAAATAAATCTCCTTGAGATTAGGTTTGGACAGCTCAGTCCAGGCAGATAGATTTTGTTAAAGCTGCAGTAAAACAAAGCAGGTTATTATAATCTGAAGCACTGGATGGACAAACTTAAAAACCAAAATACCCCACCTCATCTTATAAAGTTAGTACATTTCAATAAAAACAAAATTAACTTTGGAAACTGTACATTATGGGAGGCACAAGCTAGAATCTTTACAAATAATGCTGTATCTATGTAACTCAGCAGAATTGTCAGGAAGAACCTTAGCAATGTGCCAATGTATTTTAACTGACTCACACTAGCTCTGTGTTTCCACTTGAGCATTCTCCCAACAACGTTAACTGCAGCAAGTAGGTATCTATACATTGATTTAACACCAGCAATGAAACCAGTAATGCAACTGCATCTGATTTTCTGTCAAGTCTTCCCCTGCAAGAAGTAAGACTACAACTCTGGCTTGAAATGCAAGTGTAACACGTTTGAATCCATAAAAATAAAATCTTAACAAACTCTGGAAACACTAAAGCTCCAATTCTCCTATTTAGTTTATAAAAGCCCTGACAAAATCCAAAGGAAAAATTACGGCTACAGGCCAATTTCTGAATTTGAATAGGCAAGAAGTACAGCTCTGTTCACTCTTGGCCACTTCTAAATAATCTCAAAAAAAAAAAAAAAAGTGACAGTGCTAACATCTGTTGTAGAAATCTTGCAAAACATAAAAAAAAAAAGGAAACTGAGAAGTGCAAATGTACAGCTCATTCAACAGTGAATGACTCCAATTAATTACTAGGTGTATTGATAAATTAAACAGAATTATTCTCTTTGGCGGCTAGACAGTGAATTTGAGGGATGAAGAACTACTACAGTGACTATAAACGAAAAAACTGCCTGTTTTTTTTGCTCCAGAATTTGGATGAGAACAAGTAATGAAGTCCTCTGTAGATGAGGTGGCAAGACCAGCAACAAGGCTTGCAGCATTCTGGGTTTAAGTCTGGCAAATTCTCACCAGCCTTAGCCACTAAGGCTCTCTGAGGCTACAGTAAAAACTGCTCCTTTTCTTTACAAGTGGACATAACTCTCACACTATACAGGCTTTCAAAACAGTGCTTTCAGAAAATACAAAATAGCTTAGTGTCCATGAGTCAGCTTGTGATCTTGAACTTGTGCTCTTAACTTAGAGGCTCTCTGTGCTCTAAATCTAATTATGAATCAAAGTAATCAGTGGTTCTAAAAGCTGCTGCAATTTGTCCCCATAGAAATGCCTTTCACCAACAAGTCAATAACCACGTTAGATTTCAAACCTGTAGCTTTTCCATTCTATTTATCATACTACCTCTGTACAAGAAAATCCCTCAAGAGCTGAAAGCATTCACCTCAGATGAATCCCACCTGTGGAAAGGCAGAGGAACAAGTCCTGGCTGAGCAGCGCCTTTCCTGTTACTCCTGATGAAGCCTGTATGCCTTGGGTGAGATCTTGTTATCATCTCTGGTTAGGAAAGAATAAAAATGCTTGTTTTTGACATTGTGTTCCATGTTTCACCAGTAAAATTACCAGGAGCACTTAAAGGTTACGATGGTAAGGGAGGAATACCTGGGAAAGCATTATGGAGGCATTACTTTGTAGACAGCTTCCATTACACTAAAAAAAAAATTAACAGTTTGGGAGACAGCTGCAACACAAACAGGACAATATGTGGAAATCATGTAAGGTGTAACAGTTATTGTAAAGCAGTCATGTGCTAACAGTGGTCTGCTTCTATGCATTTCAAGGAGCTGAGTACAATATAAAAAGTGAAATTTAAAGCAGTTAAATAATTTAAGGGATGTAACCAAGGCAGCAAGAAAGATTTTATCCTCCCAAATCCAGGATGATACTGAAGGCATTTGCTAAAGTTTTACTTCCTCTGTCTTAAGAATGCTTAACCTGAAAAGGTCTGCTCTTTGCCAAAATTAAAAATGTTTTACAACAAATCTAACTTAAGTATAATCTGTTGCATCATAATTTGAATATGTAGCTATCCAAAATATAATTACTCATAACTTGGCTAATAGCTTGCAGTTAAGGTTCATGGTTCATGCACTCTTTCTGCAGAAACCCTTACTAGTTTTTTACCTAGAAGAGGAACAATTACCTTCCCAACCAAGCCATAGTATCAAAGAGTTTGAGCATTATTTCAGGGCACTTTGTGGCATCCAATAAGACATTCTAAAGCATCATACAAAACAGCATGAAGAGCAAAGATTTTCTTTACGCTTTAGCATCTGTGCATTTGAAGAGGAGGTTAATTCTGATTCCAAACAGCAATCATCTCTCCTACTAACATTTTCCCCATCATTTTCCCCCGTTGTTATCCCTCAAACCCGGCAATGACGCTGACATCCGAAGCAGCAAACCGAACACCTGGCTGTCACGCATTATGGCATCAGGTTGCAGCGCCAGGTGGTCGGGGGAGTGGGAGGCACGTCAAACACATGCCTTCAGGCTGAGCTCAGCTGCCTACTGTATGCTGCTGTCATGTGGGAAAGCTCAGCCTAGGTGCTGGTCCAGGGCAAAATGCCCATGGCTTCGCTGCTGTAGGTGACACCTACCAACCACAATGTGCT